TTGATTCCCGATTATAAACAATGCCTAAGAGCAAAATCCAAAGACAAATAAACCACAACAGCCAATAATAAACGGAGAATCAGTGGGAGTCATCATGGTAATTACTCGTACACAGGGATTTGGATTCGGGCAGCTTGGGCTGTGGGCACTGAAATGGACATTGAGCAAACAGGGAATATTATTCGAAATGACAGACGATATTCAAAACTAAATTGAGCACATGCTGCGCCCCTTCACAGTCCCAGATCCACTTGAGCCCTGACTTATTCGTCCCAGGTCCATTTTTGGCCTGAGTCCCATTCCTGCGTGTCCTTCAGGTCCTGCATGTCCTGTTATGAGTGAGGCGAGACTTCATGTCTGTCAGAGTCGGAAGCCGAACTCTCGATTGGAATCCGGGGGTTAGAGGCTGGATATGGATATGGATATGGACGTGGACGTGGACGTGGGCGGGGGCGAAGGTTGTTGACACAGATCGGCGCACCAGGCACAAAATTATTGCGCTGCGATGCACTGGAAAAAATCGCAGGCTGTGCTCAAAACAATTTCAAACTAGCTGCTGATAAAAAGAGTTTATTTAACACATTTGTGGGTAGTTTAACAGGCTTAGGGAAGATTTCGCTAAGCTAAGGTTTAGTTTAGTTTGCCCTATAATACATATATCTTAAATAGTTTCCAGCGCAACACTATACAAAAAAGCCTAGAGACGTGTGCTAAAATCGTATTACTTGTTCTAAGCAGTACGTTTAATTTAACCCAATACTAGCAAGTAATACAGAACTGTTTCTCAGTGCATTTGCGCTGCAGCGAGTGGAGAGCGAAATCTAAACATCTGCAAAATTACGCGCATAAATCCTTTAACACTTTTCTTCGGCCTGGACACTAGACAACCCATTGTTGGGGTTGCATTTGCCACGCGGGGCACCGTCAAATTAGCCCACTTCAGGGTCGATCCTGCTGCGCGTCCTCCGCGCTCTCCCTCTTGCCGCTCTTCCATCGCCCAGGACTCCTTTCTCGTGGCGGGTGCAGTGCAGCATATCTCATGCCCATTGTTTACACACTACATGCTTGGTGGCGGCAGTAGGTACACATTGAATAAATAGTAGTTAAACTGCCTTATTCAGCCTGAATGGTAAATACCTTTGTTATGAAGTTTCCATCAGATGCTACGAACATTTCCCAAGGAAGTCAAGGAATATTATTTTTTATATGCATTTATTTTATAATATTTTCGCCCCGTGTAGTAGGCGCGAGAAGTGTTGACAGTTTACGCAGAGGCTCAGTGTCGGTTGAGCAGCTGCAGCGGTGTCCTTCTATGAACTATGAATCTGCCTAGGGACCAGGTCCTGCCGACTGGCGACCCTTGCCAAAACAAACAATGACACCACCCGCTCCATCTGGGCGCTTTCCCCTTGACTGGACGCCAATAGTCGAGCTGTTGAGCTGGAGTAAATGTTTCCATCTAATGACCCCTATCCCTAACTCCTGCCCCTGCTGCTGCTGGGATGGTGGTCCTGGCCTCCTCGAGGTCCTGAGGCATATTTTCAAGGAGTCGGTTGCTGTTGTGCGGTTGCTTCGGCTGGATTTTCTTTCTTGCCGCACGGCGACTTACCACTTACCACTTACCACTCACTACTTGCCACTTACTACTTTCCAATGCCAATGTCTGTGCCTCTTTAGCGCTTATCATGCTCAAATGGTAATTGAAGGGCCACAGAAGAACTATTTATCCTCAGGCTTCCGAGCGTGCTCTCCTCGGTGTTGTTGCTGTTGTTCTTGTGGTTATTCAATATAACTCAGTCGCTTGCCATTGATGAAAGGGGCAGAGCGGTACATAGACACAATGGATGCATTGAACCCAAACCCGAATCAGAATCTAAATGGCAACCCAACCCAACCCAAGCCAAACCAAACCAAAATAAAACAACCCGAGCACTACCCTTTGCCATTTGTTTTCGGATGTTTTATTAAATTTGTTTCCAGTGCCCTGGTATTATCCTCCCCAGTTCGAAATCCTGTTTGCGTCGAGTTTTATGACAATTTCCACTTTTTGCCATTGTCGATTTGATGTTATTACCGCTCTTCCAACTTATCGAGTGCATAATGTTGTCATCATTACTATGATACCACGATTAGTGGATGGGTTTTTGGTTTTTGTTTGGGTTTGGGTTGGCGCACAGTCGCCAGTTGTCAAGGTTAATTGAATTTTCGCTCAGCCGCGTTTTCCTGTTGCCATCTAGCTGATATGGTGGGCACACTCGTATATAAGCCAACTACTCGTGACTATCTTTATTGGGGGGCCAGTAAACCATAATTTCGCCACAGCAGTGGCCAGGATACTAGTGATGGCCTGGCCCTGGCCATTAACCTTATCGCCAACCGATCCCCGTCCAAGGGGTTTTACGGCCAAGGATTAATTATGCACACGCCTCCGAATTTTTGGTCTATTGGCGTCATAAAGTCAGTCATTTGGAGGTGGACTTTGGACGAATAAGTTGAGTGATTGCCGTGAAATAGCCGTAAATGCTTTATTTAGCTATCGGTGGATAGCGTTGTCCACTGACATTTTACTTTATCATAGAGCATTACCTATGGTACCATCCCACAGACAATTGAAAAGGTCTATTTCAATTTAAGTTTATAATAATTGTGTGGCAATCTTAAATCTATTAACTTGTGGTATATATTTTACACCCATTTGTTTTTTGCTTAAAGGTGGCAGAATTTATTGGATAATGTTTGTTATCATATTAACGTTTATTATTTTCTTTCAAACGACTTGCTTTCCCCCTAGTTCTTGCCACCGTTGATGCCACCGATTTGGATTCAGATGCCGAAAGCTGCCGTCCTAAACTTCTAATAATTGCTTTAAATTCAGCGCACACTTGGCAGCGACTTGGTTCTGTGGATATGAAAAAGGAAAGCATCTGAAGGGAATTGAGGGAAATTCGTGCAGCAGAAGCAGATACTTTTCGCCGCCTTTGTTATAATTCCGCAGCAAGTGCGCACATTGCTCCTGCTTCGGTGGCCTTTGTGCCAGTCGAATTCGGTAAATAAAGTTTTCAAAGTTGCACAAACTGGCGGCAACAACAATCCACAGAGGTGAAGTGAACCAGAGCAACTGGCAAGCGGGAAAAACAGGGCAAAAAGCAGCGAGCCATGCCGATTCCTTGCACAAGTGCCGCTGCTCGATGCCAACAAGTTTTTGCGAACACTCTCCCACTTGGCCAACTGGCAACCAACTGCTTCTCCGCCTGCTTCCCAGGTATCCGTGCTAAGCTACGGAGCACATATCCAGCGGAGGCGACTCCTTGGCCCAGGACTTCCACGCCTGGCAGCCCGCTGAGCCAAAGCCTAGTCTTAAGCCGAGGACCAAACATGAAGTTACGGCCAGGAGATGGTGTGGAGGTGGAACTGGCCCAAAAGGGGGCCAAGAATTCGAGCTGCGACTCCAGAAGTAGCGCCAAACTTTTATGCACAGCACCATGTTTGGTTTGTCTTTCCAGCTTCCGCTTTTCTTCTTGCCGCTCGGGCTTCTCTTTCTTCGTCCTTTCTCTGTGTTAGTGTCTGTGCTTCAGTGTGTGCGTGTTTGTGGGGCGGATAGTTGGGGCGCCGGAAATGGGGTTGCCTCCCAGTTGTCGGTGGGCTTTTGATGCTCATACAGGGTGACATTACCACTTCCGCTTTAAATCGGAGGGAAAAAGCGGGACATGCACATGAGTAAAGCTTAAATGAACTTCTATTCATTTATTTGCAATTTGTTAAGTGTGGAAGTATATAACCAAGGTAACTAATTTTTATGACTTCCTATATTTTTGATAACTGTTCATTTCTGAAATGCAGCAGTCATTAAAATAATACAAATATGTTAACACCATAGTCCTTATTTTAAATAACACACAAAAATGTCCCTAAATCTGCTGAACGTTTGAGGAAGATAATTTTTTAGGGAAGTGCAAAAAAAAATCAATAATAAAGAGATTCTACTTCAGATATACTATGTGCATTAAATAATAATACATTAACTTTCAAAGCTGAAGACAATAAAATAAAATGTTGTAGAAATCAATATACAGAAGTCGAAACTAGTTCACCCATAAAGGAGGAATCCTTCAAGAATTGCAAAAAACCTTTGCTGTGAGACATTAGGTCCTTAAATTACCTGCCCAAGCTATTGAGAGGCACCCGTTCCCAGCTTGTTTATTGCCAACTTTTTGCACCCGCAAAAAGTAAAATGCAAGTGCAAAAAAGCGTAAAAAACGACAAGGCCATTGTTTTGTTCCGACTCTGCCTCCGCCACTGCCACTGGCACTGCCACAGCTCCAGCTGTGTTTGTTGCCATTGTTGTTGCTGGCATTCTGGTCCAGTCGTGCCACTCAAAGCGCCAACAGCAGCAGCAACAACTCAAGGAAATTGTCGCCGTCGAGCGGCAAACACGCCAAAGTTGCCGCGAGTGCAAGTGCAAGTATGTCTTTGTGCCCCACCAGCAGCAGCAGCAGCAGCAGCAGCAACAGCAGCAACATGCAGCTGCCACACGCCCACAAGCCAACTTGGTCTAGCATTAAAGCCAAGACATCTGCGAATATAAGAAGACCAAGAAGTAAAGGACAGGAAACAGAAAAAATCGCACTTCCCCTGCGCACATGCGCCGTGCCGCAAAATGGACGCCGGGGAAATGGACAGCCAATCGCAGCGCGGCTGAGGTGTGGCCAGCGATTCGCGAGGGACTTGCTCTCCGCCAGAATTTCCCTCGCTGCCAATAATCACTTGAGACCTGCGCAGTGGCGCGGCAGAGAGGGGTTGCTGCAACCCTTGCACCGGCACAACCCCCGGCATCACGTGCAGCACGAAGCGCTGCTGTTGCCGCAGGCCAAGCGGCCCAAGTGGCAGTTGTTGCGCCGCAGCTCTGCTGCTCCGTTGCTCCGCTGCTCCGTTGCTTTTGTAAACAGGCGCAGGCGCAGTGCGCGGGGGTACGTTTCAGCTGGGATTTTTCGGGTGGGCAAAGTGAAATGCTTTGATTCCGCTGATGGTTCGATCACACGCCAACTGACAGCGAACGCGGCTGGTTGTCCTCGCTCCGCAGCGGAAAAATAAGCCATTGAAAACATTGAAACCGAACCGAACTCCAACTGAAACTGAGAGCCCTTTTGCTTGTGTGTCGCGTGTTCTTGTGCGGTGTTGCATGTGACTTCATCGGCGCCTCGAAACTAAAAAGTAAAGCGGTGTTTTGTGGCAACTTGTATAAGATGCTGGAGTTCTACCCAATGCCCACGAATCTGAATCCAGTCGGCGGCAGCTTGTACTCGCTGCAGCAGAATCATGGCGGCGCGCGATTCCTGGACAATCCCAATCCCGGCAGCATGACCGCCAGCAGCGGCAGCTCCCTGCACCTCAGCAGCAGCAGCACCAACAACAATCTGCCAGCAAGCATTTCCGGCAACAATAGTCCCACGGCAACGGCTTCATTAACGGGGCAGCATCAGCAGCATCAGCAGCATCAGCAGCACCAGCAGCACCAGCAGCACCATCAGCAGCAGCAACATCCCCACCAGCAGCATCAGCAACACCAGCAGCAACACGCTGCCTCGAGCACGCCAGTGCCAATTAGCAGCTGCCCCACGCCCACAGGACACAGCCCCCTCAGCAGCAGCAGCAGCAGCAACCACAACAATAACAACGGCAACAACAGCAGCAGCAGCCTCCACGCTGCCTGCAACACATTAACAGCTGCTGCTGTTGCCGCTGCCTCCGCCTCTGCCGCTGCTGCGGCAGCTCCATCGGCAGCAGCCACCTCAGTAGCCACCTCGCAATTAGGCGGAGCAGTTGCTGCGGCGATTGCTGCTGCTGCTGCTGCGGCTGCCGCTGCGACGACAGCAACATCGACGGGCCCAGCGGCCGCAGGAAGCGGAAATGCAAGTGGCAATGGCAGTGGCAACGGTAACGGAAATGGAAATGGAAATGGCAGTGCAAGTGGAACTGGGAATGGAGCTGCTGCAGCAACGGCCTCGGCAGCAGCGGCATCCAAATTGTCTGCCGATTGCAGCGGACGCACAGGTATGTTCCAAAAGTATTTTGCACCGGCAGTCGAGCAATTTACCGGCTCGTTCCTCTTCTGGGGTTTTCACGCTTTTCGTTTTTGGCATACTTGCGTGTGCCCGGCCTGCGGGTCCGTATCTGTATCCGCATCCGCATCCGTGTCCGGGTCCGGAGCTCCGTGAGTCCAAGTTGGTCGGACGGGGCTCCAGATTGTGTTCGACCACCCACACCTGAGTATGGCGGCAGTTTGCGTGCGATGTGCTCGGCTTTTCGGGGCCAAAGGAATGCACCTCCAGGGGAAATATATAGATTTGCGTTGTTTTTCCTTGCGGATAAAGTAAGGTGTTTGTTCTTACAACTTTTCTTTAAGTTCACTATACGTATATTTTTTGTCGATTTTGTATCACTTAATTCAAAGGGCCGCTAGTCAATGAAAATGAAGTTTTAAAGTTGAAGTATGACAGTATATGTATGAAGTAAAACACAAGAAATTATATTTCATATATATTTATATTTCATATTCATTTTTGTAGTATGCTAAAAATTACGTTGAATTAATACTCGTTGAAAAAATATAAATTACTGAAAGTTTGAATGAGAAGTTTTTATTTGTTAGCTCTTGCATTTTATGTTGGTAAAACAAATAGGCCTAAAAATGTGGTATGCTGGATTGGTCAGAGGTCAATAATATTTTGTCTATATTAGTGTAAGGCCATGTTTAACTTGGGACTTAATTACAACTCAATGTCCATCGCTCTCAAAGAGTTGGATTTACTTTTTATGCAACTACAAACTACAAAAGCCCGAGGTAGATTGCACATTTAAATAAAAACAGGCAAAGCAAATGCACAATTTCCGGCTAACACGTACGCTCGTATTGACAGAGGACAATAAATTATGAATTTGTAGATGTGCTGGCGCACACATGTTGTGGATAGTTCAGTGGTCGGCTGTGTGGCATGCAGGGCGAAAGTATTTCCAAAAGTATGAACGCAAGTTGACCACAAAATAATTTTGACAATGAACCTGTCTGACATCCGCCCGGCACGGCCAAAAGGGGCGTGGCTCGACCAATAAAAGGCTATTAAGGCATGCCGCACTGCCTCCACTCTCCCACACACACACACACACACACTGGTGCGTTGGCATGCAGGCACACACACACGCTCGCATGTATGACAGCCTCAAAATAGGCAACACTTTTCAGCTGAGTTGCAACGGAAGTGTTGCTGGGGAAACTTTTGCGAATTTCCCTCCGAAATGCAAAGTGTGCAAACAATGTGTGTGATGCATATGCAGGCCAGACCTCGTCCGAGTCTAAGTGGATTGTGTTTTTGGTTTTTTAGTGCCCCTCATCCGCCACTCACTCGCCCACAATGGCTGCTCACCTGATGGCCAACTCAGCATTTGCCTATGAAATTTCTATTAATGCTCGCATTCTGCCACTTGCCATTGCCGTTTGCCATTGCCCAAATGGCAGCAAATAGTTTCCGTTTCCGCTGCGCCGTGCCACAAGCCCCCACCTTCCAAAACTCCATTTTCCTCGGCAAACACTTGGCTGCCGACTGCTAAACTACTATCGGTGGCCCACACTCTGCAGAGGTCGAGGAATTTCGAATGGGCTGCCGTTGGGAGGTGTGCTCTCGGGGGCAGACCACGGAAATGAGCACACTCAGTGTCAGGTATTCCACCGAGCGTATCAGCATACATATCTGGCTTCTGCGGCGGCTCCAACTTCGCCCGTCTTCCCGCCTCCCCGACTTCCTGTCCCCCTTCAGTCGCCAGTAGGTGTGCATTTGTGTGGCGGAAGTATGCGCCATACGCATAGCTCCGTGTCACTCTGCGTTGAGATCCCTACACTGAAACACAACTCTGATACTTACTATCTTAACGAGAGTTATTGCATTTGACGAGGCTTGCAAAGGTCTTTATATTTTGTAGTACGTCTGCTTAGAGTAATCAAATCTGTATCTTGTACTGATAAATGGTCATTGGTTACTGAAGTCCGTGCTATTTTTTATACTAATAGGTCATTGGTTTTTCAACTTTTGCATCCTTTATGGTAAGCTTAATATCAATAGGTTTATAGTTTAGCCCAATTTCCATTGTGTAGAGCCAACGAAAGAGTTTGAAAAGGCCAGTTTGTCAGCCGAAATGAAGGCTGTCGAATTATGAGCTGTCTGTCAACGACGAACTGCTGCCAAAATCCGCGCGGCACGTGGACTGGACTTCAGTTAGTGGCCGAATTAATGCCAGAAGTTGGAGTTGTCTGCCGATTTATCTCCATATAACGCCGCCCTGCTGTCAATGTGTCAATAAATGCACCATACAGTGCGACAATCGAGGGGCATTGGGGCAGATAAGCCGCTTTATCGCCGATAACGGCGAGGACACTTTGCCCTATTAGTTCTATGTTTATCGTCGAGTTGATTTTGGATTTATCTGCTGTTTAATCTATGTATTTGACATGAGTGTGCCGCACTTGTTCCAACTGTTTGCGCTTGTTGTTTGTTGATTTTTGGACAAGTTTCGCCAAGGCTCCGCCATTCAAGCCCCAAGGCACACACTCAATAAAGAGTCCTTTGTTGACCAAAACAATGCAGCGAATTGGAAAAAAGCCATTCATAAAACTGCAGCAAATGCCATAAATTTCGATTAGATTACACAAACGAAGTCCCGTCACAATATCGATGCTCAAAGCTCTAAAACAGCGGCCAAATTCAAAACGCAGCGCCCCTTTGGGGCTTATCAAATGAATCATTCTCGATTTTTTGCTCGGCCCGTGCGAAAACCTTTATCGCCCATGCGATTGGATATGGATACTGCACAATAGGATGAAATGCAAGCCGACAAAAAACGAATGCCAAAATGCCCGAGGACATTGTCAACTTTCCGCTGCACTGGCTTAGCGACCCCTTACATAGGGATTTTCGTCCCTATTCCCAGACCCTGCTCACCCACACATGCACATTTGCGTAGATATGGCGACTGCGTGTGTATGTGTGTGTGTGTGTGTGTGTGTGGGCAGGCCATTGTGCCAACCATAAATCATGCACATTTTTCTGCCACTGAGCCACAGCCATATAATATAACACTCCACTGCCATTGCCAGCTCCCTTCACACTTTTCCTCGCTTTCCCTCCACACTTTCCCAGCTCGCTGCTCATTTTTCAAATGCTTCCATACATTTTTCGCTGGCGGTCGTCATATATTTTTTATGTTTACTGCAGGCAGCTTTTGTTGTGTTTTTCGGGTACTACTTTTTATGACTGGTTTACAGTTTCAAGAGCTCCGTCTACGGGAGGATTAGGTGCGTTCTATTTTGGGAAAGGCACGCTGAAATCCAGCAGCTCCTCAATGGGAGATTAGCATTTTTAAGGGACTTCGCTTAGGTTCGGTGGCATATGCAATATCAACTGAGCCACATTTTGGGCTGTTTATATGCATTGATAATCGAGATGGTACCGTTCAATAATAAGCGAACAAATACAGAAAACTTTACGTTTCAATTACGCATCAATAAGCTTTCAATACAAGCTGTTGCAGACCGGCGACAGATAATTTTTTCGTGCGAAGAGTTTCCTTTCTGTTTTTCCCCCCAAACAGAAAGTGCGAAGCAGCGAACGGAAAAACAAGAGAGACGTTGAAGCATTTCCACACGATTCGATTGGCAGCGCGCTCCTTGCTCCATTGGCAGCACATGTCATGATAATTTCGCAGCGACATGTGCTGCCGTCACGTATACGCCACGTACGCCCATCGCAGGAGGCTACGCGTAGTGACGAATGAGCTGAGCTGCACTGGGAAACATTACTGTGTATTTTGCTGAACTTGTTGGGATGCGAGCTGCTGTTCTCAAGACATTTTTGAGATATTTTCCAAGTACGGCTTGAATAATCAAATATATGTACGAGTATGCTGTGTTACAAAATGATGTTAATTTTGCTAGACTTTGTTCTATAAAATATTTAATTTATTACAATTTGTTATGGTTTTAACCTCAGTGCACAAGTTACTCAAAATGGACTCTGCGACTTACTAACGCGACTTTCCCCCATTTTCGCTTCTTTCATCCCCAGAAGTGGGCCACATCAAGTGCGAGAAGAACTTCGAGCTGTGCGAGGGCTGTGGCCAGAAGATCCACGACCGCTTCCTGATGAACGTGGGCGATGCCAACTGGCACGAGCAGTGCCTGGCCTGCTGCTACTGCGGCATGCAGCTGCACCACACCTGCTACGTGCGCAACTCGAAGCTCTACTGCAAGATGGACTACGACCGGCTGTTCGGTGTGAAGTGCTCCTCCTGCTGCCATGCGATCCTGCCGCAGGAGCTGGTGATGCGACCCATACCGAACTTTGTCTTCCACCTGCCCTGCTTCGTGTGCTACGCCTGCCGATTGCCGCTCCAGAAGGGCGAGCAGTTCATGCTGCGGGATGGCCAGCTCTTCTGCTACCGCCACGATCTGGAGAAGGAGATGTTCCTGGCGGCCGCTGCTGCCCAGCACTGCGGGTTCGTCGGCCTGGATGAGGAGGATCTGCTGAGGCCCCGCGACGGGAGGAGAGGTCCCAAGCGACCACGCACCATCCTCACGTCGCAGCAGCGCAAACAGTTCAAGGCCTCCTTCGATCAGTCACCCAAGCCATGTCGCAAGGTGCGCGAAGCCTTGGCCAAGGACACCGGGCTCTCGGTGCGTGTGGTGCAGGTGTGGTTCCAGAACCAGCGCGCCAAGATGAAGAAGATTCAGCGCAAGGCCAAGCAGAATGGTGGCTCCGGCGGAGGATCGGGCAGCGGGCGTGGCACGGGCAGTTCCAGCGCCACCGACGATAAGGACACCAACGAGAAGGAGGACAAGTGCGTCAAGCAGGAACTCGGCGGAGATAGCTCTGGTTATCTGGGCGGACTGGACAGCACTTTCGCCAGCCAGCCACTGAATCCCAATTTGCCCTTCTCACCGGATGGTAAGTGTAACATCATATACTTGTATATACTAAAACAATTGTCAAGGAGTGATTTGAAGTTTTAGTTAGTCAAGTCTTACTCTGTCTGCCAACTGCAAATACTAATGGACCGATTTGTTACAGACTATCCGGCCAACTCGAATGACAGCTTCTGCAGCTCGGACCTCTCGCTGGATGGCAGCAACTTTGACCAGCTGGACGACGATGCGGACTCGCTGTCGCTGAACAACCTGGAGCTGCAGTCCACCAGCTCCTCGGGCAACCAGCACTCGCACTCGCACTCCCACTCCCACTCGAATCCCCACGACATGCTGGCCAACCTGAACAACAGCCTGATAAACCCCATCGACAAGCTGTATCTCATGCAGAACTCGTACTTCAGCTCGGAGCATTAGGGCATTGGAGACATGGGAGACATGGGAGACGTGGGAGCACCGAGGCGATCGGGGGATAGAGACGAATTTATTAGCGTTAGAGTGGCAGGATCCGATCGAAAAAGGACGCGAGGTCCTTGCTGTTACTTTACACGTAGCGCGTAGTTGGCACCTTCCGCATTCGGCGCATTAAGTTGGAGTCGTAGAACCAGATACAAGATACATCAAATGTGATTTTTTTAAGCTAATTGAAATTTTAAGATTCTTGGCGATTTGAACGCGGCGAAAACGGGGCGGGCAGCACATTTTTTTGTTGGTCTAGACTCTAGAGGCAAAACAGAATAAATGTAGAACTTCTTGAAAAATGGTAAAGTGGTCTATGCGCCCCCTTATGTTTGTAAATAGTTTTAACCACCCGAGAAAATTGTTATTAAATGTAATTTAAAAGTCAATAATTGTATTAGCAAGTGCAATTTAATCTGTTCCCCTAAAATATACATCTTAACCGAATTCTTGCTAATGGCTGTATTCCTATCTTTGAAATTTCGTTATGTAAAAGTGGGCGGCTTGTTAGTTTTTAATATTATTTATTTTTAATATTATTTAGCATGATATGCTTAATTTTTATCTTTTGCAGTTATTATTTTATATATTTATATTTTAATTATTTCAAACTTATTTAAGCAAGGAATTAAGGAAGAAATCGAGGATGATTTCGATTTAATTTTTTTTTTTTTTGCAGAATTAGCAAAATTCTGGTCTTGCATAATAAAAGTAAATATACTCATAATATGAGGTTAAAATTCATTATGTTTTGCTGCACCTATTGGAAATATATTCGCAATTTCTTGACGAAATTACATTTTGGGGGCTCTACACATTCCTGGATTATTGAATTCTATAAATACCTTGAACAGTAAAGTTTCGTAAATTTGTGTTGTTATTTTCGATTTTCAAAACTTTTTTATTCCGCCAAAAAGGCTTCCTGTACAAGGCTGGTTTCTACGAAACTCGCAAAACAGCAGATACATGGCGTTGCCATATGGACAGAAATATTATACCCATGGCAGCTCTTCCACGGCCAAATTTTATTTTAGTCCCACAGTTTTAAGTTTTTATTGGAGTTTATTTTTATAAATTAGTAACTACGTAACACTTTATGAGCCCATTCTTTTCTAAATTAATGCTACTGCCATATTTGGGTAATGCAATATAGCGGTATGGTGACATATCGATAGTTTGTTATTTTTATATCGCACATCCCTAAGAGAACAACGCGTTCGGCAAAATCGCAATAAACAATAACAATGGTATAAAATGGGAATTGCCTGGAATTTAACAATTAACTTGAACGTTTTGTGTAATCCGCAGCTCTTTTACTCCTTCTTCAAGTCGCTGGTGGGCAAGGAAGTTGTGGTGGAACTGAAAAACGACCTCAGGTGATCTGCGTTTGTTTGCCGGCAAAACGAGGCAGCTAATTTACAATATTTTGTTTATAACAAACAGTATATGTGGCACCCTGCACTCGGTGGATCAGTACCTGAACATCAAGCTGACGGACATCAGTGTCACGGACCCGGACAAGTATCCCCACATGCTGAGCGTCAAGAACTGCTTCATCCGGGGCTCCGTGGTGCGCTATGTGCAACTGCCGGGCGACGAGGTGGACACCCAGTTGCTGCAGGATGCGGCACGGAAGGAGGCTGTTGTGAGCACGAGATAAGGAGCCGAGAACCAGAACCTTTACCCTATAGAAACTGCCGTGGATCTATCCATTTTTAAGCAATCTGCCCTAAAAAACTAATGAAATTCTGTTAAAGCAAAAACCAATAAGAGGAATCCCCGTACGAAGTCGCTATTTACGTTATTTACGGCCCATCAGGTTTCGATGAGTCAGTCCCGAGGTTTCCGTGGGTGCTCCTCCCTCCACCTACGCACTGTCCCTGTTTTTATCGCTCCACGCTTGAATGGAGCATGTGGATTGTAGGCCAAGTTTGTGTCATGTTGATAATGGTCCATAAATTTGTATAATTGCTGTAACGATGTACTCGATGTCTGGATGTCTGAATGGCTGGATGGCTTGTCTACACATCACCGGATACACGGAGTCATAGAAGGTTTCCACAGTGGGTTGCTATGTTACACGATTATATGTACTATATGTACTTGCAGCCCGTTTTACGATTGCTATTATTGTGCGGCCCTCGAATTCAACCTTTTATCCGCAATAAAATGGAGGAGCCTGGCGGAATGCTTTTAATTTCTGGACCTCGACCCGCTCGTTAAGTGCCTCTTCGTTCGCCATCGAATGGCTTTGTTTGCTGGAATGCGTACTTAAAATAAAATACGCATTCGTGGAACACTTTTCGCTCGGCATTTACATTTTGGAATGGCCAGGGAATCGCGTTCTAAACTTTGGCAGTTGGTCAGCGGAACATCACGAAATATCGAGCCATTAAATGTTGAAGGGTACAGGGAGAAAAAAGCTGGTTACTTGAAATGCCATTTTTTCAGAATTTTTATTATTTTTACGTTTGCGGGCTAATAGACAATTTATTCAGAAAATACCTGTACATACGAGTCCTTACCATGTAATGTTTCGTTTAAATGTTATCGAGTTCATCCTGGGAAACCCCTTATTATTATTACATTAACTAATTGTTCTAGCTTGTGTGCGACTTTTTGGTCAGTGCGAAATACTCGTAGCTCGTCTGACTGCGCATAATTGAGGGCTGGAGTTTAGGCCACGCCAGCGGAGTCCATCTTTCATTATTTGTGGTAATTGGGTTCCTGTTTCCGGCGCAGCTTCTAAATTGGGATTTTGAGGAGCATTTTCGGGCGCATTGTTCGTCGACTTGTGCTCGCAAAAATTGTTTTGCATTTTGGGCGAGAAACTTTTCCTCGGAATTGGAATTTCTATTTGGAGTGGAGGAGTGGGCGGAGGCACTGGCAGGGGAAAAGTGTCCTCGGGTCGGGCCTATCGCGATGGGACGACCTCCGCCTGTGCCGCCCATAAAAATTTTGTAATATACCCGTGCTCCGGCGGGTGGACGTGAGCTCTGGGGGATTTATGGGGCACACAATGCAGTACATCCTAGTTCATCAACGTGTTGAGCTGTGCGTGGCGCGTAAAAGTTGGCTCGTAAAGTTACGCTGGGATCATTCGGGTTTTATTAAAAAATAAACTATACAAATTTGACACAGATTATTTATACATAAGTACGCACCAAAGTGCGCAGCACATGAATATGCAAACGGATGGAAGCTAAGCCGTTCCGATGGATTCCTCTAATGTCATATGTGTGTGTGGTTCATTCTCCGGAATCGCCAGACACATCCGCACATCTCCTGGGGCTTTTTGGCCAAATTGAGTTGTGGTGTTCGCTGGGATTCGGTCTGCATTGGTATTTCCAGATGGTATGGCCGTAAATTATGGATTCCTTTGGAAGAGCGCCGTTTACAAAGGGAAAAGTACGGTTCAGATGGAGCTTCCTTTAAGGTTTTGAAACGGAAATCAACAGAAACTAATCGCAACTCAGGAAACTATAAGATATGGATATGAGTTTGGATATGAGTTTGGTTTTAGTATCTTAAATTAGTCACAATATGCTCTTGTGTTGTTGAACATGAACTCATATTTATTTGTATTTTTCGCAATTATTTACAATAATCTCCTCAAAATAATGAGTTAATTTATTTACAATAGTGAGACTTAACCTGTTTTGGCTGATTTCTTCTTTACACAATTAGGGAATTTATTTTTGAGTTGCTTAGCTGAGGGAACTGAATGAAAAACTGGAAAACGAGTTTAATTAACTTTACAATGTTGCCCTGCCAATGAGAGAAACCCATTCAAAGTCATTTGTGCATATGTATAACCAATTAAGCAGTCATTTAAGCTGAAATGGTAAGTGACTCTGATTGCACACAGATTATAATTGCATTTATTGTAGCAACATTTTTAACATTCAGAAGATAAATCTATTTTCACAACCACATTTAATTGCAATTTATTAGTTTTATGGGGTGTATATATACATACGAGATATCGGGTTTATTTGTATACTTTTTTTGCGATGGGCGTATCTTTGTTCAAGTCAAGTACTAGAACATGCAAGGGACCACGAGTTTCTCCCAGTGTAGGGCAAGCATTTCGTACGGACTAGCTCTAATCATACGCTACTCTAAGCACACCCATTGTGTTTGAAGACTTAACTCTCGATTAGCTTATCTAAGCACATGTTGCACGCCCCGGTGATCTGATCATCGACGCCTCTCCACTGGATCAAATCCTCTGGCAGTCCCCTCACTGCACTGGAAGCTCTTGAAGTTCTAACTGCCGTCGCAGCAGCTCCCTGCTCAGGCAATGGCAGCAGGAGCAGGCGTCCTCCGTCGCCACATCCGCGTCCGCAGCCGCAGCCGCATCCGGCGCATCCACCGCCGCCGCTACCGCCATCGCCAGCTGCTCTCACACGGCCGACACCCGCTCATTGTTGTCCAGCAGTCCGCTGGCCACGCCCACACCCACTCCGCCCCGCTGGCTGTCGTAGCTGAGGACCAGGGTCGAGGGCTTCTCGTGCAGCAGGAGCCGCTGCTGGTGCTCCTGCTCCCGCAGGCAGCTGGGATGCCGGGCCAGCAGAGCCGATCCCTTCCGCATCAGCTGCGGCGTGGCGCCGCTCGAGACGGTGCCACCGGGCGTCCCATTGCCGGGACCCACGTGCAGCAGACCCACTTGCTCCTTGAAGGGAGCACCTGCACCCGGTGCGGCTGTGCCGTTGCTGGAGCTGCGGTAGTAGCTCTGCTGGCGGAAGGCCCGCATCTGGCGGGAACTGCCACCTGTGCCGTCCACCTGCGTCACCGCCGTCAGCATGGATGGAGTGCGCTGCGAGTCGCCCCTGCGGATGAAAAGTGGGCGGGGAATGGACGATGCGGTGAGGTGATAAAAACCAGACGGAAAAGAATTTATCAGTTTATTGCCAATCATTTGTAGGTAGGTTTGTACTTTTTGCGCTATCAAAACAATCATAGAAGTGTGAAAAAATCATAGCATAGGTCGCAGTATAAAATGATATACACGTATATAAAAATCAGTAAATTATACAAACTAGCGATGATACAATGTTTTCCTATTGTGCGACACTGAAGTTTTCAATTTCATCAAGACCGTCCTAGTTAACAAATTGCTTGCAACATAGCAGCTTTTACACTTTTAAGATGAGCAGCGTACAAGTTGAAAGTAGTAGCAGCAACTTTTGCTTAAGAGCAACCCCCAATTAAACGAATGACGGATTATTATTAAGTATCGTGCTTCAAGGGAAACTGTCGACATTGTGCGCCGTGTTACATTAACTTACAAAAATCATTTATTCTTAAATGGGAACTATCCCGAAACAGCATTTCAGCATTTCAGCATTTCAAACATCTTAAGCTTGCTTGGCTGTTCTACAAGCGAACTGCCTGAGTGAAAAGTAACTATTTCGATTACGATAAAAGTGCAAAAACAAGCTCGAAATTTGCTGGTTAATAGAATTCATTTGCTCCAGGCCCCGCCACTCACCTGTTCAAGCTGTAGGCGTTGTTGTTGCCGCCCCCGCCGCTGGACTTGCCTCCTTTGCCAGGACACAGGTGGAAGGCACCGTAGATGAGTGGGTTGACCAGGCTGTTGGACATTCCGAAGAAGAAGATGGCGTCCTGCAGATCGTCGCCCAGCTGCAAGCAATCCGTGAAATTAAAATTATTTCCCCTTTCCGGACCCTTTTCCCACTTTAAGTGCGAGTGGGCACATTGTGGGTGTTTCTACGGTCGGATTGGGCTCGGGTTACCTCTAGAAAGCTGGCTTTCATGAGGCCTCCATGAGGCAGCTGAAATTAATTAGTGCACACTGGCATGGCTGGGATTTCCACAGCCAGCATTCGTGAGCGAGTGGGAGTTTCTGCGTAAATGCCATCAGAAATGTGCAATCGAAAAGTCTAGTCTGGAAAATTGTCAATGCCAATCCATTTGCATAGGCAAGGGATATCGATTTCAGGGAAAACGGCAGATAAAGTGAAAGCAAATATGATTCTCCCTTTTTTATGGGCACATTTTCAAATGGGAACAGTGGAGGTATTAATTTTTAGCTTCAGCTGTGATGGCAAAATGAAAAACTTTCCCTGAAATGAATATTTTTCCGAATCATTCGTTAACCCATACTGTACAGGATATGCGGCTTGTGTTCCCGCCGCGATTCCCTCCTCCGGAGGCCGTAGTCCTGCTTTTACGGCCAATCTCTGGCAAGTCATCAAAGTTGGGTACGCCGTGTCCGTTGGCGCCGTTACGGAAAAATGGCGACCGGCCGTAACGATTAATTAAAAATTGAGCATAAGAAATCATTTTTATGCGCGTGGGTCCGCTGAAAGCGCTGGCAAATGGTATGGCTCCAAGCGGACTTGCCATCTGCGACTAGGTCGTGTTTTATACAACTAACAGCCCCAAGTTGTAAATATTGTTGGGCAGCAGCACAAAGGATTCAACAATAGCAATCGCTACAAACTGGCAAGCTGGCAACTGGCAAACTGACAAATCGACTGCTGATTGATGCGCCCTTCGGTATCAGCTCATCTGCCTGTCATTCAGCTCGCCGGAAATTCAATAGGGGAGCAGTGGAAACTCACCCTCTTGTCCGGATTGAGGAACATGAACATAATCATCATGACGTAGTAGGGCGTCCAGCAGATGAGGAAGGCTATGATGATCACCACGGAAATGCGGAGCGACTTCATCTTGGCCTTGTGTATCAGCCTCTGGCGATTCGTCTGCGTTGGCAACTTGGCCGTCGAATAGTTGGCCAGCTTCGAGCCCTGGAACATCTTTTCGCTGCCTGCGCGATTGTCACATATTAGTATGGTGATGCAAGCCATTGCTAGCTGGAAACTCACTGGAAATGGTGCGAAAGGTGGACATGTAGGTGCCGAACAGGATGCACAGCGGCAGCAGGAAGGTGAAGACCAGCGTGAAGGTGGCGTACATCTGCTCCTGCCAATCCGCCGTGTAGAATCCGTGGGTGACGCACTGGTAGAACTCCTCCACGAAGGGTCCACGCGACACGTGGAAGATGAAGAACTGGCAAGTAGACGTGCAAAGTACAACATTAAAGGTCGATTGTTGCACAGAACAACACATGGATGGAATGTGGTGGTGCTGAAAGTGATGCTGTGGGATATTTGCATTCAAATCTTTAATGAGTTATGTAAATAGGAGCTGCTACAATCACATGTTAATCAGCAACCCATCTAGTCCTGGTTACACCAAGGAGTAGGTGCGGATATGTTCTCATGGAATCCACAGGCGGCCCATGGTAACAAACTGCTGACTCCAAACGAAGTTGCTTTGATCTACTGCTCTTTGTGAGCGGAAAAGCTTGCTGATGGGTGAAAAGTGCTTCGGTTGATTTTCTTGTTGGGCTTGAAATTTTTCCAAATTGACGGAACAGTTTGGCGAAATGTATTCCGTCTGCAGAAGCATATGTCATTGTTGAAGGCTTGCTGTGCGCTTAGCTTGGCAGAATATCCCGCAGAAAGGTGGAAATTCTCGTGGCAGAGCAGGCTTCTCCATGGAAAATGTCTGGCATGGGCTGATAAAGGAAATGTAGCGTCTTATATTCGCCAAGCATGGATGTGTCTGCGCATAACTAATACGATAAAAGACGTTTTATTTGCGCTCTTTATGGGTTTTCCGTCGGCCGCCGTGTCAACAGCTGACCCAAATGCAGGAAATGGGAAAACTTTCCGCGCTCAAGCGAGTCGCGTAGTAAAACTACAGAAACCCCCCAAAGAACTAACGAGATGCGGATAATCGTCCAATGGTTGATTTTTATTAATTTCGCACATTTATAACTTCCAAGCCATTGCCTTTCGCCGAAGTAAATTGCCAGTAACTTTCTATACCATATATACTGTAGTATACTTGTATAGGTCATGGCTAAGGATAATTGTGGCTTTCTATTTTGTCCCCTTAAATTCTTTAGAAAAGGGTTTTATAAACTGGATTGGCTGGAGGCTGTCAAGCTGAACTTATTTCTAACACAAACTTTTCAGGTGTTGTTCATTATTTCCATGTTGCTATTCATTAAAAATGCACTGAAAGTTTAAAGGGCCTTCAACGCGTTCAACCATGCCACACGAGCACTCAGCACTATTTGTGCACAATTTGTTACACAAGTTGCCACGAAAAACTTTAGACAAAAACTTTCGAAAGTAAAATAAAACAAGATTGATTCATGGTGGCTGAAAAACTTCCAGAATTTCCGTTCAAACCAAATTGCATGGCTCAAGTAGTTCTTAATTTTCCCACGACAGCCTTGGATTTCTTAACACGTTTGTAAAGCATTCAGATAGTCAAAATATATATGGTTTTTTCAATATTTTGCCAAGTTTTGACCAAAACTGACCAGCTAAATTGAGAACAGCAACATGGCAAGCTAAAGGGAAAAATTAACAAGGATTCTTCGACTTGTTTACTTACGAAATTTGCTAGGAAGTTATGATTTTGCCACAAAACTGTAATAAATATTTAATGGATTTCATTTATACCTATTTATAAATCCTAATTCTGCTGTTAATATGTGAAGACTTTATTCAAAGTGTTGTGCTGGTGAGTTCAAAGCGACGAAGGACCCGTATCGATTATCGAGCGACTTTTGAAAAATTGACTCGTTCCCAATATGTAAACAATTCTCCGAAATTCTAATTATGCCACCTAAGGCCGCAACTCAGGCTGTGTTGTTGCTGAACTCAAATTCGCAATAATACTCCGCGGGGAACCTGTGGATAACCTTGTGTTTGACTTCATCATGTCGCCAGTTTTCATTGTGCGGAATTGTTGGCCTGAAACTGGAATTGTCGGCGGTGCTTTGTTTCCTTATTTTTTTGTGGAAAGAGGAGTTGGGGTCGATAGACGTGAAGCCAAATAAATGCTGTTGAACACATTTGTTGTTTATTGGCAGTCGAAGTGAATTTTCATTTCGCTCCTTTATGTGAAACCAACAAGTTCAGCAGCGCGTCTCATATTGGATTCGGTGTGGCCCTTACCAACACATGTGCTGCTTGGTTGGCTGGTTGGTTGCAAGAACGTGTGACATGGCAAAGTTGTCCGGAAAATTGTTTGAGATGATTCCCTCATTTCCGGCTGGGATACTTCGAACGTCACGTCTGTAAGCGGCATAAAGTTTATGTCGCATGTTCGAGTAGAAGCGAAATGAAGAAAGTTTCCCGGGGAGAGCCATGTCGAAAAGTGGACCATAAAAATTGGCATAATGATTGCAAAGTTTCTTTTAATTGGGTGACAGTGGCTGCTGAATTATGTAGCAATATTGGTGTCCAACTAAAAACGGATTCTGCCATGTCATCATAATTTGCGGCGTTCGTCATCAAATATTTACACCCAAGCTGCCTGTCTAGCAAAGTGTGGTTCTATTTTATAATTCGAAGGCAATACATTATGTCCTTTTCATTATGATTTTTTTGATTTGGACCAAAAATCAGCGTGATTGTGCCCCCAACAAAACTGCCAAATTTTCCGCTTGACGTGCAGTGGAAAAAAACACGAAAATGTAATTAAGCTTCGCATATTTTGTGGCACTTAAACAAGTCGGATGGTTTAACAAACTGGCTCGCACATCCAGAAAACCCACACACAACTTGGCCCAAAGAGAGCAAATATAAGCTCTGCCCGATTTGTGCGTTACGTCTGTAATTATTGTTCCACGCCATACATTATTCAGTTAAAAGGAATGGCGCCGGTTTGTTTAGCTCTCTAATTAAATGGGCTACATTTTCGCATACATTTGCGTGCGAGCTGGGGAAAATGTGCTAGTTGCATAACTTGCACCATCCCGTGGCGAGGAAACCTCCCATTTTGTTCTTTATCCTCTATTTTTGGGATCTCTCAGGTAATGAATTTGGTTACACAGAAGGTTTGACCTTTGTCCCCACTTGTACTAATGGCCAGCCAAGTTCTACGAACGATATTAACGCCCTGGGTCACCAAAGAAGCAGTGGGAAGCTTGCAGTCACTTTTCAATCAAACTATGTTGCTGCCCCTTGGCCGCTTGGCTTGGCAACTTTGAAGTGCGCCTTTCGTGCTAATTACCTACCATAGTGACAGCCTGAACTGGAGTGCCCAAAATGTGCGCTTCTAGGAACACCAGGACTCCAGCTAAAGATACACTGAGTTGTGGAGGTGAGGCGCCTCGCCCGGGGCCATAAATCAAGGACACACCAGGGGAATCAAGTATGCAATCGGGATGTGGAGACACGCGGCATATATTACACAAGCAGGGTGCCGGAAATCTGGAGCCAAGTCGTAGAACAAAGCGAGTGGCTCCCATTAATGCAGTCCCATTCTTTCTTATCCGGCAGCCGACTGCCTTTCCTTGCCAGGGAAAAGGAATATATCACCCAGCGCCTATCTGCGCACAAAGAACCGAAATCGGGAATATGAATAATGTCTGTCGGCAGGCAGTCACACTTGTTTGGTCCTTTTTGGCGCCCCCAACCGAAAAACGGAGAGAAAAACCCAAAGAAATAAACCCTTTGTTGGTCGGACGACCGGAATTCGATTGGGTGTCCCATCCGCACATCCGCCCATCCCTACGCCCATCGGCACGCGTGTGTGGGCGTGGCAGCGGCCCAAAGCCACATTTAGTGCACACTTACTGTGCGAAAGGCAATCATTTTTAATGTCTGCACACATTCTGGCGCCTACTCAAGACTATTTGCACTGTGCCACGGGGCGTATACGTGTTATAAAGCAAACATATTACTTCAACTTCATCAGCGCGGGTGTCAGGATAAAATGGAGCGGCAGGGGCAGGGGCAGGGGCAGGTGGCTATCACCGCGGCTGATTCCCAGCTTTAACTTAACTTAACTTAACGTAATGGAACGCCGCTCCAAAAGTGAGTGGATTATTTCATAAGCGTGTCTCCTTCTCACTTCGTTTCGACGGAAAAACTGCCTTTTGGCCTTTGGCGAAATTACCTTAAGTAGAATAATGTTTTTACAGGCCGTGACTTTACATGCTAATTTTAAAAGTAAAAATATCTGTGCCCTTGAGGTTTACGTTTTTACATTTCCGTCGAAAAGGAATTTGTCGAAAGGGTTCATAAGTTAAGAGGAGGCCCAGATTGTACAGATTTGCTAATTAAAAGCGGTCTTTAACTTTGAGTTGTTGCGTTTTAAATCATTTTGAGATTGATTCTCACATTTCCTGTAGTCATGCAGGTTGCTTTTAGATCTAAAGCATAAAAAGGGTGATTTATAATATTGTTTTATTTGTGCGAATATATTAATTGTTTATTCTAACCAAGAGATTTTCTACGAACTGCAACTTAGAAGGTGTTTCATCACCTACCTGTGGCAAGCTGAGCACCAGCGACAGGATGTAAGTACCGCCAAGTAGTCGATGACACCGCTTGGCCATGTTGAGCGACTTCATCGGGTACTTGACCGCTATCCACCGGTCCACTCCGATCAGCACCAGGACATAGGTGCTCAGGTAGAGGCTGAACATCTGGAAGAGCTTGACCAGCTTGCAGGTGAGCTCGTTGGCCAGCCACTGGACGGTGTAACACCAAGCCGCCTCCCCGATGATGCAGAACCAGGTGACCAGCACATCGGCGATGGACAGATGGAACATCAGCGAGTAGATGGCACTCCACGTGTGCCTGGAGTTTCTCCTTGAAATGCGGGTCTTGTAGATATTCCAGATGGTCAGCAGGTTGCCCAGCAGGGAGAACAGTGCCATCACCGCCAGGACATACACTTTCAGCAGTCCGGATCGGGACAGTTGGGGGGCGTGGTCCATCACGTGCTCGGGAACCTGCTCCGCGATCGGTGGGGCTTCCTGGCGACTATTGGTGTGCGCCAGCGAGGAGCTATTGGCGATGGCGTAGGCGGGCAGGGGCGTGGTGCTCACGCTCAGGTTGGATATATCCATGGCCATGCCCACACCCACGTCGATCATATTGAGCGTGTAGTTGACGATTTCTGGAGCGGCACCAGCCACAAGTCGCGTGAAGTTGGCCAGTGTTGTCCAGTTGCTGATCAGCTCGTTTTCCGCCTCCAAATCCGTCGAGGCATTCGGAATACTGGGCAGGCGATCAAAGGAGCCCCACTCGTCCTCCATTGTGTCTGTATCTTGGCTTAAATGAGTTACTTGATGGGATTGGACGGTGGTTTAGGGGTCCTGGGAATTCAACATCTTAAATCGGTTACTTAAGGAATGACCTCCGGTTCCACTTTACATTCATATATGACCAACATTGCAGCTTTTAGTTGGCTTTTTCTGGATAAATAAACTGCAAATAGAAGAATAATCGGAGGTACATGTTTAATTGAAGTGGGAGCCAGGGAAAGCGGAATTTCCTATTTTGTGGAGAAAAGCGTAATTAGATATGAAAGCTAGCTAAGCTAAAAAGCTTCTGGTTTTCTTAGGCAAACGTTGTGCACACCGAAGGACTTGAAATCGTATTAAATATGTATTACTCGCAACTTTCTCTGAAAACCTTTCATTTTCTAGGTAAACAAATGTCGGTTCTCCCGGCCCAACAGAAAAATGCTCAAATGCTAATTAAATTTAGATTAAAATGAACCTGTGCCTTGTGCAATCATTTTATACTAAATTTCAACCTTGAATTCATATAAAATGTGCACCCTGAAGCTAAAGTCTTTCACTCAGCTGTCTTGTTTATTTGATTGTTTTCAATGGCAATGCCTTTGCCAGTTGCAATTCAGCAAAACAATTAGGTACGTCAGCTTGAAGGGCAATTGTTGTAAAATCCTTTGCAAAATCCACTCTGCAGTCCAATAGAGCTGCAAATATTCGAGTGTGCCAGCAGGGAAATGGCACATAAACAACTATTACCTTTATATTGTTTCCAGAAAGTTGCAAGTCTGCTGACTCTCGAAGTTCATGACATGATTTGAGTTTTGCAAGGCAAAACACTAGTCTAGTCTTAGGCCAAGCTAAGACCCACTTAAGCTAATCGGACTGGAGTCGGATGACTTTATATTGCAGCAGTATAATGACGCCATCGGCAGCCAATTCGCTGACCTGGGCTGGTTGCAATTACCCGGCAGCAATTATTCGCCTTGAGTATTTGCGATTAAGTGCAGCTAGTGCGGAAAAGCACAATTTCATTTTAATAGATACAAACACGATGTTTTTGCAGTGTCGCTTTCGATTTCGAACTCGACTTTGACCACGCTGCATGTTAGTAAAAGTTCAAAGTAAAATGTGAAATTCCATGAAATTTCATTTTCCAAATTAATTTATGTTCATAAATTAAATTGAACGCTTCGGCTTGGCTTCGGGTATAGCATTATATGGCGTTATTTGCTCGGCCAAATGGGCTGCCAATAAAACCAATTTAGAGAAACGCGTGTGTCCAAATACTTGTGCATAGCCGAATGAAACAAAACACTTCAGCCCAATTGAAATCAATCGGACTGAATGATAAAATATTTAACGAGAAAAGGGCATGTGTGGTTGCCAACTAATTACCCTTGTTCAATCTAGACCACTCGATTAAGCCGGATTAATAGCTCATGACCTGCAGTGCTCGGTGGCACTAAAGCAATTTGTATCTGATTGCCTGGCCCGCATCTGAAATCTCGAGTCTCAAGTGAAATTTCCATCTCTCGCAGGCAGTTTAATCAACGCGATTAATACACAAATGCGCATTTGATTGATCAGCAGACGAGAGCAGCCAAAAAAGACCAAATAAAAGTTCAAAAAAAGTGCGAAAAAAAGCACATCTGTGCCATGTATTTGGGATCTGAATTAAAATCCCCTTGGCGGCGACAGATGAGCTGGCTCAACTTTTAGCGAAAAGTTTTTAGCCAACGGCTTGCACGCATTTTGATTGATTTGCATTTCTGCAGTGCAAATAACCATAACGCCTGACTAAAAGGTTAGACTATAGCCTCTTTTTTTCGCATTTTCCATGGCAAAGTCATATATATATTTTCACATATATATTTTCACAGAAAAGGGGTTTTAAATACTTTAAAAAAAACTTCAATTTTCCCAGCAGTAATTTAAATGATTTCCTTTTTATTCCTGCAGGGTAACGATTTAAGTGGAAATTTCACTATTTTTTCCAGCTAATTGTACAAAGTTGGGCAAACGGAAGGCATTTTAGTTGAGTTCATTTTTTCGAGTTACTTTCACGCAAACTTTGTCCATTAAGTGAAATTGGATTAATTCCCGAAGCAGTTCGCTGTTATTCTTACGGCGCTACTTTGTAATTATTTGCTGAGTTCATAAACTGTCCAAGGGACTGCAGACAGACAATCTCTCACTCCCAACCGAAAATCTGGAAAATTCGTAGGGCTCTTCTCATTAAGGGAGCAGAGTCCCAAAAAAGTTTTCACGATAAGAGGCACACAAACACTACCACTAATACCACCACTACTACCACTACCATTGCCACTCCCACTTGCTGTGGTATTTGCATTCAACTTGGCTAATACTCTAATTCAAGTTGGCGTGGCTGTTTGCATTCACATTTCACATTTATTTGGACACTTTGGGCTTTGTCTAAGCCGAGGCTGCGATATTTGCACAGTTGTGTGGCTTCTCCAAATACAGTTGAGATACACTGAACTCCGCGGGCTACTTGTCTTGTCGGCCTGAACATCGATATGCCATGTCTTTCATATTTTGGCAGCGCTGTCAGAAGTCTGAAACTCTGCCGGAGTGTTCAAAATTGCCAAGTAATTTAATGTATGTGTAAAAGTATCTGTATCTGTATCTGTGTCTGTATCTGTGTATATCCAATGTGTCCACAGTTCACTGTTTGCCCAACATCACACAGCTTTTGAGGAGTTCTTGATGCCATTTTGATTATTGCCCTGGGTTAACCACACAGATAAGTCCGCGAACACACACGCGTAAAAAAAAGTCATTTCGGCGTTTGATCAGATGAAAAATGTAATTGAAATTCATTTTGACACTCTGACATTGCACTAGATTAAATGGAATGAGCCAATTTATTTATTTGCAGACCTTTAACGAATTCAATTTTGATTACAACTTCACTAAGCACTTTGTTTATACAATTCCAGGTGGCAACAAAAATATTTATTTGCTTTCAATTAAGCTTAATTGGAATAATTGGTAGACATATGTAACATTTCACGTATTTAAACTTGCCTTGCTTGTAAGTTAATAGACTTTAAGTTAATAGACCTTAAGTTAGTAGGACGAGCTATTAGACTTAAACTGTTTCACCACTTAAATGCACACTTATTTTGTTTTATTTTAAATAGGTGGATTAAGTTTAATTATTTACACCAATTTCACTTGGCTGTTATCTTGTTTGGGAGCATGAAAAATGCACTTGGTACGCTTTGGCCTCTATTTGCCCTTTTCGGTGGCTTTTCCTTAATCGTATCACTTTGCGACATCAAACTCTGGTTTCCACTTCAAAATCCCAAATCCCAAGCGCCAGCGAAAGTGCTTGGCATGTGTTTTCCAATTTTCCGCGCTTTTCAACCGCTGCGGCACGTCGAGTTCTGGCAACTGATTTTGAAAAACCAAGGCGGCAAACTCAAATCATCGCGCTAGCGGTTCGAACCGGGCTCGAACGGCTCGAAGCGAGCGTCGAACGTGTTGCAAGCGGATTCATTCATAAAACGAATGCCACCTGATGGAGCGACCCTCGCTCGTGCGACTTGCAACTTGTTGGCGTCTCCTTGTGAAGGGCAATGCGCCCAACGGACGCACATAACTCATACGCAGCGTGGGCTTCTCCTGGCTGCGCGACCATAATTTTCACCATTCCTGTGCTCCTTCCTGCCTTTTTTCAGCCGCGCTAACAAGTAGTTGCGTCTAGCGTGCTTGGATTTAGTAAGCAGAGTTTATCTTGCCACAATGGGCAGCATATTTATTCTATTTACCCTAATTACCTCATTTACGCACATGCCCAGGCTCAACCCTTTAATCGTAGTAAACAACCAAACAACCAGCCATTCCATTTGGCGCCCCTAATTGAGTTTTCACAAAACAAACAAGTGTGCTGCCAGCCCTCGGAAGGTAAAAGAAAATCTGACGTCCATAAAAACAAAAAAGAATGATTCCATCTGTGGTTTTGACACTAAAAGCGAGAGCTCTTCCGGTTACCTGTCATTAGGCCACAATGGAGTACATTTTGCAGCCACAGCTGGGACTGGGACGGGAGGAAAAAACTACCAAGTGGCCTGGGAAGCTCCATTTAGCAGGATGAGCACATGCGAGTAAATACCGCTGGCAGGATACTTGTACAATGGAACGCCACATGACAAATGACGCACTGAATGCCAGCTCAGTCACGTGTGATGAACCGACAACACCGACAACAATGCGGGCCCAAAAGGGAGTGGGCCAAACCAGAAGAAAACTCCCAAAAACAAGCCCTAGCGCCCGCTGTCTATTGTTTTCCAGACACTTATGCGAGCAGCGGATATCGACGGCAGGATGCCAGGACTCGCCGTGGCAGCTGTCAGGAGCTTGGAGGCGGCTCTTCAGGTTCATTTCGTGATCCCATCAAAGGAGCAGCGGCAACTGATGACTAAATAATTTCAGCTCAGGCAGAGAGCACAATGTTTGCTCACCGATAAACCAAATATATCGTTTGCCAATATAATAGAAAATGATTTATGCAAATTGATGGGAGAAGACTTGCAGGCAAATGCCCTGTAATACCTCGTATGACCTCGTTTCTTACAATTGATTCCGCCACTGAGCTGCCAGATTAATTTCCCCAATATGGTATTACGAAATTGGCACGAAAAAGCCTTTCGAACTACTCAAGCTGCCAGCAGCTCACTTGGAAATTTTTCCGTCTTTTCCGGCGTTTTTGCCAGGCACGAGTATGCAGAAAATTAAACTTTCCCTAGGCTGAACAGTAATTGGATTAATATTCATATTAACTATCATGCACGCGTGCATCTATTAACTCATGCGCGTGTATGAGACTTTAGCCCATTTTCCGGAAAATCCCCGTTTCACTTTGGGTTGGGTAATCCCCGCAAAGTGCATAATTTGCCCCAGAAAATTATGGCATCGAGTTTCGAGGGCTCGCCGGCTTCCTGTTTCTCCGGTGATTTATATCACTTTTGCGCCAAGTTGTCATGGAATTCCGTTCTATGCGAAACATGTATGCTGCTGAATTGCTTTCGATGGGCCTGCGGGATTTTCATCCGGCGGATGGCAAAAGTTTGCTACTGATGCCCAAATCTTTTGAGTTTTATGTAAAGCATGTCTGTTTTCATATACGTGTGCCAGTCCCAACTTGACAACAATCAAGGAGGCCGGCTTAAAAAGTGAAACCGCGTGGCTTGCCGGCGGAAAAAGGAATTCCTTTTGCGGAGGAGCAGGTGAGGAGGAGCAGGAGCACGCCGGCAGGACTCCTCTCATCATTAGCTCGCTGATTACACGGAGCCACAGGGAGACAACGTACAGGAAAAACCAAAAAACAAAAAATAAATAAACAAACGTTCCCCAATATTTGCCAAAGTCCACGTCGTACACGTGCCATCGACTAATGTGCTGCTAGAGTATGCCGCATAAATAATAGAGTTTATGAGCAGCGGCACGAATGGCACCCAAGTCCCGATACCGATTCCAAATGGGCAAGGATTTAAATAGAGGAGGGGTTCCCGGCTTAGCCAATAACTGACAGTGAGCTCCATTGACCCAAATCAAAATTCTGCATTGCACAAATTAACTTTGACCCGCCCCTCGAACGGCAATCCCATAAAGAACACATCGAAGACACGGCCGTTAAATGCAAATCTTATTAGCCAACTTACGAGTTTTATGGTCCAGCCGCATTAGCCAGCTTTTGACCCACTGTGCGGGTCCTGGCTTGTCAAACAAATTGATTTTCAGCTAGCCTTGGTTGCGGCGTCCAGCTTTCGGCGGCTGTGGCTTCAAATTCTACCGGATCCGGCACTTGAGTTTGTCGCCCCGAACCCGGAAAGTTGCTCCTGATTTTCCGCTTTTCTTTCCACTCTCCTTTTTCCCCACACAGCGATGCTCATTTTGAGAAGTATTCGAGCACATTTTTTATGTTGTTTCGACGTGGGCATATGCCCGTTCTCCGTTCTCCGTTCTCCGCTCTCCGTTTTCCTTCTTTTCCCGAGACACACTGTGTTTTTCCGGGCTTTCGGTTTTCCCAGTGCTTCAAACTACTTTATTTGGCCATCTGGCTGTTTGAAGTGCTGCCTGCTTTTGGTGGAGAGGCTTTAAGCCAACGCAAAGGAAACATTTTCGAGGACACATGCCGGAACGGGAGCACAGAGATTCCCCTTCGCTGGAATGCTGGATATTGCAGTCCTCCGGAGGATGAGATGTAAATATGCCAAGTTTAATAAGTACTTTGTATGAACAAATTTTATTTCTGCTGGCTCTTTCAAGAGAAATCATATATGCGAATGAGTTTATAGAAATGTTATGGTCTGAGAAAATGTATTTACTCGCAGATAGTGGTTACTTATACTTAAGAAGGCAGCTTAGTTCATTGAACACCAATTGAGTCGAGTAATTTTGCAAAGAGTCCTCATAAGCATGCAACAAAAATGTTGGAAGGATAAGTAGTAATGTTAAGTAGGGCACTTAACGCCTTCACTGCCGTAACAATACAAACTTTTCCTTTGTCAATCACAGCTCGAAACTTTTTGCATTCACTTTATGTACTATGAAAAAGAGTACTTTCTGCGAGTTTTACTTACCTAGCTTATCTGAAAGGATTTCCCCGATGTGTAATTGTTTGTTCAAAATTAAAATTCGTAGAAAAAAGTTTTTAATAGTGGCCAAATAAATGGTATTATTATATTTACCACTATGATTATTCATAGAAAATGTTACCAAAATTATGAATCCCAATTTACTATTCCCTAAAATGTGTTTAGTTTGTTACATGCACATGCATCTATGTTGTTGCATGAATATACTGAACTCATTTGTATATCAAAATGTTATAATTTATGCTGCTTTGTTCTGTTCATATGAAAACATGCAATTAAAAATTGTTCAGCTCCATGGCATCTGCATAAAAGCACAATTACTGGAGTACGAGTATATGTGTGTTATGACTTTTTCGGGCCCATGAAAACATTTGCCGAAATTACTTGTGAAGCGCTAATTAAACATTTTTACGAGCCTCGAATAAAAGAGCCATAAACGCATGCAAATATATTTTTGACTTGGCTCGAAGAATTTCAGAGTGCGTGCCCAGATTCCAAGTGACTAATTGTGCCCAGATATGGATACTCCAATACTTTGGCCCCAGTTCCCCGCTGGGAAGCATGGATGCCAGGGCGAATGCCAATCTGGATTTTGATGCACGACTGGCCACTGAACTCGGCTGCCATTCAGACGGTCCACGTCCAGGCCATTGACAATCTTGTTGCCATAATTTCAGTCTGGGCCCCATTGACCCTTTCTGCACTTTGAAAGCAAACGAAAAGGGTTAGATTGTCAGCTACTAGATAAACACAGTGCCGTACACTTTGTTCAAGAAACTGTAGCCACTTTAATTGCAATTAATTTTGAAAGTTAGCCACCGCAAGTGCTTGAAATTCCAATAACTTCGGAAGAATTTCGATAACTCAGAAAATATAAATATTTGAACACTGTTCTGTACTTCATTCACATTGCTTTAGTGTGAGGCAGGCTGCAACAGCGTGTTTTTATTACTATTAAGAAGAAAATTGAATTTCTCAGGGCGAACAGTGCCTGATTGTCAGTGTGTCTCTATTTGTTTATGTACTTAGCCCGATATTTTTCGAGGGACGAATAATACACTTAAGACCCTGCTCCCCAGCAAATATCCCCATTCAAAAGTCAGGGGCTGTCGTTTCGCCACGCGTTCTGGGCATTCATCAAACCATGGAGCTCCTGCTGCGGAAGCCGTGGAAGCTGGGTTCCCGCGCAAAGAGTGCTTTTATTGATTTAATCAAATAAACACGAGCCAGAACAGCGTGGAGTCCTGGCAGAGTGAGCAGCCAAGGAATTGATCCTGACTGCTTCTGACAGGCAGACAGGCATGAAACTGCGTTGGCGGAGCAGATTTACTCAGCTGGCAGGTGTGTGGTTTTTGGACTACGCCAAGAATATGAACGACTGAGAAAGGGGGTGGCCAGGAGTTTAGCCCAAGGACATCCTGCCGCGACAACTCAGTCGGGCTGGCGTGTCAAAAGCCATGCAAACAAGGACATGCTGCAAATTGCTCAACATGGAGGAAACAATGAAGCGTCGCATTCATAAAAGCGCTCGCACGCCAAATTTCCGTTTCGGGGGTCGTAAAAGCAATTGGTCTT